ATCCCCAGCAACACGGGGTTTATTATTAACTTGGGGGGTTTTGTTTGTCTGGCAGTGCTCGGGAGCTATTCCCAGATATTTGTTCATGGGTCACCTCTGGGGAAGTGCCTGGGGGAGCATCAGTGTCAAGGATCAAACCTGGGGCCTCCCACATATGAAGCAGACACGCTCGTCCTTTGACTCATCCCCTCAGCCCTATTATTCTTTTTTTTTTAGCCCTATTATTCTTAAGTGAATTAAGAAAAGAAATTTTGGGGGGCTGGAGAGATAGTACAGCGGGTAGGGCATTTGCCTTGCATGCAGCCGACCCGGGTTCGATTCCCAGCATTCCATATGGTCCCCTGAGCACCGCCAGGAGTAACTCCTGAGTGCAGAGCCAGGAGTAACCCCTGTGCATCGCCAGGTGTGACCCAAAAAGCAAAAAAAATAAAAATAAAAAAGAAAAGAAAAGAAATTTTTGAACTCTTCAGTTTGTCTCAATTTCTAAATTGGTAAGTACCAATAGATAATGTACATAAAACACAAGCACTGAGCCTCCCCAGTAGTTTCAAGGGATGTTCAATGGTCCAGAGACCAGTGTGTCAGAGAACCACGACTTGTGGCAAGGTTCCTAAATGCCATAGCTCTCCCTGAGGGCCCGGTCCTCAACTTTCACCACCTTCTCAGATCGGCTCACTCTCTAGCCAGAGCTGCGAGACACCACTACCAACCACTTTACAAGGGCAGGCTAGTTTGACAAAGGACAGTTTTCTTCACCAAAGCTGACCAAGTTCAGTGACAGGCTGGCTTGGTGGGTGCCATTCAGCAAGAACACAAATAAGACTGACAAATGTCATGGCCTTCACGAGCCTCCTTGGGGAGCTTCCCCCCGCCCCAGCCTCACATTCCCTGTCCCTTTTTTGTCTTCATGAAGGTCGTGCCTGGCCAGTCTCCACTTGACACGGCAGCTCCCTTCCTGTTTCAAAAACTCTCACCCCTTTATAAAATTCCCTCGAAGGGCACTCGTTCCTACTGGGAGAGAACGGTAGTGTCTTCTACAGAAGCTCAAATGCCTCACAGTCCAGGAGCATCAGCCCAGCTTTTCAGGGGTGAACAGCTTCCCACCCACCTCAGGAAAGTGGGCCTGCCGAATCCTAATGATGAATGAAACCCTCTCACAGTACTGAAATCCCCAGACGGAAATCACCAACCAAGACGAAGAGGAAAATGTAGGCGTGCAGGTGCACACTCATTGGCACACGCAGAAAGCTCAGCGTGCTTTTCCCAAGATCAGTGTTTGGAGCCTGTACACAGCTGACGCTGACCAGCAGAGAGGGGCACAGCAATCACCTGAACGAGCAGGTGAGCAGAAGAGAACTGTGCACAACTTCATTGCTTCCATTGGTTCCGTTCGGTTTTTCCCCTAAGTTATTCTGCCTAAAAATATTACCCTCCATTCTTCTCCATGCCACCAGCTGTTCAGCAAGCCTTCCCCTCCCCTCGCCAAAGCCAAATTCAACTCTAATGCTCAGGCTGAGAATTATCTGCTGGCTGTTCCTTGCTAGAAGCCATCCAGTTAACATGAACAAATTCTGATCAGGGCCACATGAGCCTCGACACCACAGCATGTTTGCCATTCCCAACTCCAGACCCAGATCAAGCCACATTTTCAGCAGTTCCTCATCGTTGTCGTTTGCTCCCTGCAAAGTCATGTTGCAATGTGTACCAGAGGCCCTACTCAAGAACATGGGGAGCACATACTTTCTCTTACACAGGAGTTCAGAAGGGCCTGAGCTGTTGGCTCTCGGGCAATGCCGAGGACCATGGCCTTCCACAACGAGGAATCGGGGATACAGCCACGGACAGGACTGACCTCCCCATCTATCCTCAGTAAGAACAACTGCCCCTCACTTTCCGGATCATTCCCAAAATCCCAGTCCTAGACTGAAAAACTCATCCTTCTCTCGGTGAGTCTACCCCCTAGCTTAAGGGTACACACGTGTACACATCTGCGTACACACACAGCAGGTTCCTCCTGCCCTCTGTTATCCTGAGCAGCCTCACCACTCTCTTACGTGCAGAAGAGAGGGCAGCAACAGGCCCTAAGTCTTCTCGAGCTGACCACTTCTCATCTGTAGCCCATCATCTCCACTGCAGCCGGGCCTGCTGACAGATCACTAAGCTCCATCTCACACCTTCCAAACCTGGAACGCAGAACGAGCTTCCACAATGTCAATCACATCCCCAGCCTCTTGCTCCAAGCCTACGGGTGGCCCCACTACCAACAGGGTCGAATCCAAACCATCCTCATCCTAATGAACTACTTAAAATAACCCCAGTCACACCACCAAGAAACACAGCCCAGCCTTTGCCCCAACTAAATACTACGCAACAGTGTCCTTATCTTCTACCTAGTTAGAAAGGGTTTTGGTTTGGTCGGTTGGTTGGTTGGCTTTTACCTTTTGGGCCACATCTGGTGGTGGTGCTCAGGGCTTATTCCTGGCTTATTCCTGGCTGTGCTCCTGGATCACTATTGGCAGGAACTGGAGGAACCTATGGGGTGCTAAGGCTCAAACTTGGGTCAACGGTGTGCAAGGCAAAAGCTCTACGCACTATACTATCTCTCCAGTCCCTGAAGAGTCTCTTCCTGACCTCAAGATCCCCGTGAAGTACCAGCCATCCCTGACAGCCACAATCACGGCCATTAGCTCACAAATAAATACTTCTGAGAAAGTCAGTGAACATGCAGCAATAATGAAAGTCCACCCTTCCACAAAGCCTGTCAGGACAAATTAGAGAGTGCAGTTTCCTTTCATGCTGCCAAACGAGTTCTAGAATCTCCAGTTTACCCTTACTCGTTTCTGTAGAGTCCATACAGGGTTTCTAAACCCCTTTATCACAACAGAAGATGAGAGGTAAAGGCAAATAACCAACAGTATCGAGAAAATAGCCTTTGAGGCTAAAATAAAGCTTTTACTTCTAAGCTGAAACCATATGTATGCAAAGGTTTTTCTACAAACTATGCCCATCTCAATTCAGCAGACTCATCAGTACCTGGGGAACTGTGACGTTCCAAAGAGGTCCAGAAAGTTGTGCCAACACCCTCAGTGACTGGAGCCCTGTCCACAGGTTTTCAAGGTGAGCCGAACCAAGCAAATCGTATGGTCTTAGGGAAAGCAGCAAAAACCATGCAAAAACTCACTGTGTCTCCAACTTTCCTGCTTCCCTCCAGCACTAAAATTTCTGTCATAAACAGACAACATACACAAATGGAAAGAAAGAGCTAATGTACCACGTTTACACTGGCAGAGGTTTAAAACAAAATTCAACAAACCATTCTAGCAGATTTTTGGTCAGTGTCTTTGAGACCCTTGATCACTAAAGTGAAATAAAACCACCCACAAATGAACAAAAATGGGAACTGTCAGAGCCAAAGACTTGATGATCTCCAAGACACTTAATGAGTGCACCTGCTCTGGTTTCTGAAATTCACGTAAGAGGGTAGTGCAAAGTACAACTTACAAAAACGATCCTGGTCGTCCTTTGGCCCCACTTACACACAGTGCCACATGGTTCCCCGTTCTCTCCACAGGGGGCCATGCTGTCCCAAAGATGCCAAGATGTCACACGTGGGGGACATGAGCCCCCAGTCTGACAGCTTCAGACTAGGGAACATGTCTCTCTGAGAGAGCTCTCTAGAGTAGAGGGAATTAGCCACGAAAATTCTTTTCTGCTACTTTCATAAATTCCTCAACAACTGGCTAACTAATAAGGATTTGGGAGAAGGATGAAGCACCCCTGGAAGAGAACTAAATGACATGAGATCGAAGAGAGAAAAAAATTCCAAGTGACTATCAGGGTCGAGTCAGGGTGGCCAGACCAGCCAAGCCCTGAATCTCTCTGACTCTCCATTCCTGAAGCATAAGACACTCTCCCCTCACCCAGCTCTGACTTTTCTCTGAGTAATTATGCGAGGAGTGAGCACCACACAATACAGTACAGCTTACAAATTTAGGCTTTTAAAAATCAATGTTATTTTCTCCACATACTTCCAAAATAGATGTTTCCCTCAATGCAGAAGGTTTTAGGAGGGCATAGGATTGTTTTTAAAAGGGGATGGCTATTTATTTAGAATCCTTATTTTTGGAGTCACTTATTTAGACACCACTTCCCAGACCTCAAAGAATTCTGTCCTATATAAAAACAAGAGAAATAAAAAGCAGGAGCAGCCAGCCCAGGGTAGCATGAAGAGCAGTCAGGAGCTTCAGATCGGGGAGGGATGTGGAGCCAGACCGACTCCGGGTGGGCTGGGCGGATGGCGGTGGGTGCAAAGCTCACTTGCAAACTATCCGGCTCTCGAGAAGCTCAATTTCTAAAATGCTGGGCTTTGACAAATAGCAAGCTAAGAAAGCATCATGGGAAAGTGAAAGTTGAGAGTTGAAAAAGCAAATATTCTGGAAAAAGAGCTCTAACAGGAGAGGGCCCTGAGTCCCAAGTACCAAGCACAACACAAGGCCTTCCAGGGGAGAGGCACTGTGCGCCTGGGGGCTCGTAATTGCATCGAATGCTCAAGTCCCTGCCGCTCAGCAGAACCCTGGAAGATAAGCGATGAGAAAAATTTTCTCCTTCACATCGGAGGAGAAGGCTTACAGAAACGCTCTGAGGGGACTTGAGGGCAGCCAAATGGAATTCAGCCTCAAAGTGTGGCAAGTTTTGTCACCTGCAGATCCCCAGCCCCCTACTTTCAGAAACCCGAACAGCCCCGCAGGCAGCAGTCATTTTCCAAACCCTCCTGCCTGCTGTCCACAGGTCTCTGTCAGGTCATCTCTGTCACAACGGGACAACTCCGTGACATGTGGCTCACCGGAGGGCAAGTTCCGCCAGCCCTGAGAGGGCCTCATGCTGGGGAGGTATCTGGAAACGACTGCTCTGCCTCAAGTCTGAAGTTGGGAGGGGCTGTCCTGCTTTCCAACACAGACAGCACTGGGGAAGGAGGCGATGAGGCAGAGAAAGCCACGTACCTTTCAACTGGTCGGCAACGACGCTCTGGCCGAGGCGCTCGGTGACCTTCCCATCTTCCATCTCGTACCGGTCATCTAGGTATTTTGCAGTGGCCTCGGAAATGTGCACCTTGCCGGCCACTCCCAGCTGCTCCATGAGATTGGCCAGGTTCACATCGTTGGACCACACGTCGAACTTAAACCTCCTCATACCCAAGATGCCACACAGAACAGTGCCTGTGTGTACCCCGACACGCATGTTTACCATCTCTTTCTTCTCCTGGCAGAACTGCTCAATGGCTCTGATCATGCCCAGGCCCATCTCGATGCAGCAGTAAGCATGGTCAGCTCGGGGCTCAGGACACCCCGCCACGCAGTAGTAGCAGTCTCCCAGGGTGCTGATCTTCTCGCACTTGGTCTCTTCACATAAGCGGTCGAAGCGGCCAAAGAGATCATTCAGGAGACCCACCAGCGCATGGGCAGACTTGTTGGCACTCATTTTGGTGAAGCCCACGATATCTGCGAACAAAATGCTGACTTCTTCAATCTGCTGCATCTTGAAGGGGCGGAAGGCTATGGGGGCCTTCTGGATGGACGACTTCTTCTTCCTGTTCTTGGGGCTCGAGGTGGCGTGCCTTTTGATGGAATTCTCACTCTCCTCGTCCCCCTGCCTCATCAAGTCATCTGCGATGATTCTTGGCATCACTGAGTGAATCATCCGCTCCTTGAGGGCTTTCTCCACCTCCAGGTCCTTCCCGTGCATGATGGACTGGCCCACCTTGAGAAAGGTGCTGCGGGACCTCACCTGGGACATGACGAACAGGTGGATGCCGATGGCATGGACACAGACGTGGAGCAGGGCCCGGCTCAGCAGCTCCAAGTGTGGGGCCCCCAAGCCGGGCGGGGGGAAGCAACCTTCGTTTTGGAAATAGTAGCCGAAGGTCTCGAACAGAACGGAGTAGGCTGCTCCCAGGAACACGCTCAGGTACAAAGGTAAGTGCATGACGGTGTAGAGCAGGAAGAGCACTTGGATGCACATGGAAAAGCTCCCCACTGGAGACAAGCAAGTGTCCGTGGGCTTGGCCGCGGGAGTGTGATTGGAGCTGTCAACACGTCCTGAGTCAGGCCCCAAGACCTGCAGCTGGGCCGCCAGGGTCAGGGCGGACACCAGGAGGGTGAGAACCAGCGAGGTCCACACGTAATGCCGGGCGTAGAGCTTGGTGAAGGTAAACAGGAAGAAGCCCACGCACACGGCGAGGAAGCCCAGGGCAGGGGCGACCATGGCCGTGAGCCTGGGTCGCATGTGCACCGCGAAGTAGACGCTCCAGAGCAGGCAGGCGAAGCCGATGTAGAAGAGCGCGCACTGGAAGCGGCGCTGGGTCTGCGGGAAGCAGCGCTCCAGGCAGGCCTCCTCCAGGTTCACCGAGTCGAAGCGGGGGTCCCACCAGCGGCTGGACGCCCTCTCGAACAGCTGGGGCAGCTTCCTCCGCCGCCGCAGGCGGCCCCCGGCCCCCGCTCGCCGGGGACCCCCGCCCGAGTCCCCGGAGCTGCTGCAGCTGGAGGAGATGCTGTGCTTGCAGTGCTTGGCGTGGCTGTTGGACACCAGCTGCTTGGGGTTGATCTTGACCCTGACGCTGCTGCTGTCCCCGCTCGAGTCGCAGCTCACCTCGGTGCCGTGGTGCGGCAGCAGCTGCTGGTGGGGCGGGGAGGCCATGTTGCCGCGCGCCGCCCGGCCCGGCCGGCTCCCCGCGTCGGCGGCGCCCGCCGAGTCCGAGTGGCGGCCCCCCGCGCCCGCCGCCGCCGCGGGGCAGCCCGGCCCGGCCGCGTCCGCAGGCGCCGCCCGGCCCCGGGGCGCCTCCCGCCTCACGCCGCGCGCCGCGCCCGCTCTCGGGGCTCCCGGGCCGGGCCCCGCATGCCGCGCACACGGCCGCGCCTCCGCTGCGTCAGCGCCCGGCCCGGCCGAGTCCCCGCCCCGCGCCGGCCGGCCCGCGGCGCCCGCGGGCGCGGCGGGAACCCCGCTCGGCGCGGCCCGTCGAGCCGGGACGGCCCGCGGCGCCGAGGGGGCGGTCGGCGCGCGCGCGGGCGCGGCGCGGCGCCGCGGCCCCTCAGCCGGCCCCCGCGGCCCCTCAGCCGGCGCCGCGACGCCCGCCGGGACGCCCGGGGCCCGCCTCGCGCGCTACGCCAGCCGCCGCGGCCGCCGCCGCCGCTGCCCCATGTCGGAAGAGCCGCCCGGGCCGCCGCGGCCGCCGCCACCGTCGCCGGCCCCCTCCCCCGCCCGCTGTCACTGACAACGCGCGCCCGCGCCGCCGCTCGCCCCGCCGCAGCGCGCACGCGCGACCCGCGCGCGCCGCCGCCGCCGCCGCCGCCGCCGCGGGGCCCCGGGAGCGCGCACGGGCCGGCGGGGCTGCGGGCCGGGCGGACGCGCGGAGGCCCCGCCCTCCTCCCCGGGCCGGCTGCGGGAATGCGGACGCTGCGGGACGGCGAGACGCCCCCGCCGGGGCCGCCGCTGCCCCTCTGGACGCCGCTCCAGAGACTTGCACGCGAGTTGGCGACCTGCCCCCCGCCCCGTGCCCACCGCTCGCAGGGGGAACCGCAGCCTCGGGCTGCCGGGCGGAGAGACCGACGACCCCCTCAACGCCGCGCGCGCCCGGGAACCTGCTCCCGCGTCCGCGGCGCTCGGGTCCCTGCGCACCCACGGCTGTTGGTCCCGTGGCACGAAGAAAACTTTTCGAGGAGCCCTACAACGCCCCCCGGCCCCGGCGCGGGGCTCCACGGCCCCCAGCGCGAGCCCGACCCGTCTCTGCTCCGGTCACACTCCGGGGCTCACTGTTGTCTTGGAAAAGTAAATCGGTTGTTTCCGGCAGTGTTTGAACACACACACACACACACTCACACACACACACACACACAAAGAGAATGGATTTGCGCTGCAAAAGTGGCCAGACCCGAAAAGATGATGCGGACCTGAACAGAGCCAGCAAGGCAGGAAAGCCCACTGAGGGCGTGATCCCGGGGCTGTGAATTCTCAGAACAGGCGGATCCACAGATGAAGCAGCTCAGTAGTTGCCAGAGGCTGTGGGTGACAGGAATGGGGAGGGGTGGTAGGGGATTTCCTCCCGGTGACAAACGTTCTGAAGCTAGAGAGCAGGGGGAGATGCTGCCCAAGCACTGGCTTTGCTTTTGGTTTGGGGCCACACCCAGAGGTGCTCCAGTTTACTCCCCCACCCTGCTCTCAGGGTTCATTCCTGGTGGGCCCAGGGACCCTGTGAGGTGCTGGGGATTGAACCCAAGTCAGCCAAGACAAGTGCCCTCCCTACAGTACTATCTCTTCGTCCCCTGAAGTATTGGCTTTTAATGAGTTAAAGGGTTGCTTTTATGTGATGTGTCTTTTACCACAAGTGGGCCAAGTGGGGAAAAAAAAGAATAAAAGTAACAATCTCGTTGCTATGCATAACCTCAAACCCAAAAGTGCATAACCTCAATCTAATCTAGAGAAAACCACCTCAGTCTAAGGGGGAGGAGACCTCAGATGGGCCCAGATTGCGAAACCTCTCCCAGGCCCTGAGCAGTGCTGGCCAGCCCCGCTCGTGGAGAGGCCCTGGCTTTCCTGGTTTTGATCACGGTGCCCAGTGATAAGCCTGGGAGACGCTGACACTCGGGCAGCCCAGCCCGCAAAGGAGAATGCTCCAGGACATCTGCAACTTTAAGTCAAGATATTTCAAAATTTAAAAGTGGAAAAAGAAACAGAGAGACAGTACAGCGGGGAGAGTGCTTGCCTCACACACAGCAAACCTGGATTCAATCCCATAGGCCCCCCCCAGAGCACCACCAGGAGTGATTCCTGAGTGCAGAGCCAGGAGTAACCTCTGAGCCCCTGAGCATCTCTGTGTGTGGCCCCCAAAACAAAAACAAAACAAAAGACTGAGACCTTTCCTGAACATTGGCCATGAGCCAGACACTCTCTGAGCAAATTTCCGGGTGAGGGAATTGAGGTGCAGAGGGCATGGCCCTGAGCAAGCCAGAGGTGAGCATAAGAAGTCACCCGCTGCTTTCTCTCATGGCTCTGGTTCATGCCACAGGCCTCTGAGGCAGGTGTTGTCCCTACTATGGATGTGTGACACTCAGGCCAGGGGTGACAGGCCTAAAGAATGGGATTTGGTTACAAATCAGATCGTCCCCAACCTCCACTCCGGAGCTCAGGGAGCACCGACAGCCCTGGCATCTGTCAGCCTCAGTAAGATGGCCCTGCCCGCACCCTGCTGATCAGCTGGCGACCCAAGACCCACCCTGCCCACCTGCCTCATCCCTCCCCAGCACTTCAGGCCACCTCCCATCCGTGGCATCTGAAACTTAGTCACATGGGTTGTCCAGGCCCCATAACAATCAAACCCACTCCCTACTTTTATAGCTACAGGCCTTCTAGAAGCGGCAGGCTACCTGGACTCCAGGCAGGGGTGTGAATCATCCCACACCCCCTCGGGCTGGGCCTGGTGCCCCAACTGCCTAGGCCCTGGGTACAGGAATATGTTGCCAATGGCTTGAAGTGACTGGGAGTGGATGGGCGAGAAACGGGCACTGCTGAGGTTTGCTGGCAGTGCCAAGTGAGAGTGCCAAGATGTAGAGGGGAGTCACTGGGGGAAATTGGCAGGGGTGCCCACTTGGACAACCATCTCTGGTCAGTGCAGTGAACAAATGGGGCCTTTAATCAATCGTTCAGTTGATGGGGGAGCAGTTATAGGAATCAACCCACATTTTTCCACAAAGGAGCGATAGCACAGCGGGTAGGGCGTTCGCCTTACAAGCAGCCAACATGGCCAACCCGAGTTCGATTCCTCCGCCCCTCTCGGAGAGCCCGGCAAGCTACCGAGAGTATTCGATATGCCAGACACAGTAACAACCAAGTCTCCAATGGAGACGTTACTGGGCCCACTCGAGCAAATCGACGATCAACGGGAGGGCCTTTACCTTTACCTTATCCTGAAAATGAACAAGATGGGAATTTTGATTTTTTTAACCACTTTTAATTCTGCTCAGATATCCAGAAAACTCTTCAGTGCCACCCTCAAGAACATCATGCGATGACTAGAAAGGAAAGGAATGGGAGTGAAGATAGATGGTCGGCAACTACACCACCTCCGCTTTGCTGATGACTTCGTACTAATAACACCAAACATTAGCCAAAGCAACACAAATGCCGGCCAACTTCGACTGTGAGTGTGGAGAGGTCGGACTACAGCTGAATCTCACGAAGACAATGTTTATGAGAAACAGTTTTGTTCCTGACGTTCCATTCGCTCTCAACGGAACAAACATCTCCGAGTGCAACAGTTATGTGTACCTAGGTCGAGAAGTCAACATGACGAATGACCTGGCACCTGAGTTGTGCAGGAGGAAGAGAGCAGCTTGGAACGCCTTCAAGAGCATCGAAGAAATAGCTAAGAGGACGAAGAACCTCTGGCTCTGGGCACATCTCTTCGATTCCACTGTTCTTCCTGCATTAACATATGCCTCAGAGACCTGGGCCCTACAAAAACAGGATGAGAACGCCATTCAGGTCTCCCAAAGAGAAATCGAAAGAGCTATGCTTGGAGTAACCCACTTCACTCAAATAGAGAAAGAATCCGGAGTTACAGCCTCCATCGACAATCAAGAATCAGGGACGCAGTCTCGTTTGCCAAGGCTTCAAAAATCAGATGGGCTGGACACATAATGAGATTTGGAGACAGCCGCTGGACTAGAGCTGTTACCGACTGGATTCCACGGGACGTCAAAAGATCGCGTGGCCGCCCACCTACTGATGGGTTTGAGGCTCTTCATGTTCCTAGAACGAGCAGACGCCATTGGGCTACACTAGCACGCGACAGGAACAAATGGAGACGTTACTGGTGCCCGCTTGAGCAAATCGATGAGTAATGGGATGTCAAGTGATCAAGTGATTCAGAAAACTAACTTGCATTTGATTTCTTTGTCCTAGCTAATCAGGACAACTGTCAAGAAAAGCCACCATGAGGCCAGAGAGAGAGTACAGTGGGCAGGGGGCTTGCCTTGCATGCAGCTGACCCAGGTTTGACCCTCAGCATCCTACACACTCCTGTGAATATGCCAGGAGTGATTCCTGATGACACCCAAACCCAGGGCTCCCTCCCGACCACCTTTCCAGCCTGAGTGCAGGGACAGGAGTAACTGCTGAGCACTACCAGGTGTGACCCCCCCCCAAAAAAAAGGAAAAAGAAAAGCAAGGAAGGAAAGACAGACTGCCACTCCCCTGAGTCGCCTTAAGGTCAAGTCTGACTCTTCTATCTAGAAAATAGAAAGCAACTACCTCTCTGGAAAGGCCTGAAGCATAGCCCAGAGCAAGCTCAGCCGTGCAGACCCTCTGGGCATGTTCTCATCCTCCCTACCCTGAAAGGAGCCACAGATGAGCCACCAAGGTTGGGGTCAGGCACAAAGTCAGCTGCTACTTTCTCCTCCTTTCTCTGTGCTCAGGAATTACTCCTGGCGGTGCTCGGGACCATATGGGATACTGGGAATCGAACCCAGGTCCGCCGGGTGCAGAGCAAATGCCCTCCCCACTGTATTATCGCTCCAGCCCCTCCTCCTTTCATTTTCTTCTGTCACGCCCAGCAGTACTCAGGGGTCACTCCCTGTGGTGCTTGAGGGACCATGTGGTGACAAGGATCACCCAAACCCAGGGCTCCCTCCTGCCCTGCCCACCTTTCCAGTCTTCTGCCCTCCACGCATCTGT